GGGTGCAACAATGAATGAATGGAATTCCAAAATCTCTGTAGATGTTCATTGAAATGAAAAATAAACAAACTAAATTAAATTTTAAAAAAAAGAAAGAAAAAGAAAGCAAATCTATGGCCACGGAGTGTCAGTAACTATACTATTCTCCAACTCTTTTAATCTTCTCAATGATTATTAAAATCTGCAAATATTATCTTTCTGTAAAATGTATACTAATATTATCAATCTCTATAAAATAGTGGGAATAAAATATCAGTATTTAAAAAAAACATCTGATGGCAAGTTCTACTCTGTCCTACAGGAGGGATGCTATGACTTGGAACTGAACAAATGCCAACAGAGAGGGGTGTGTGTGGGGGGTGTGTTTCTAGTGCTTTGCCAGAGGTTATAAATAGCATGGGAGGAGATTGCCCATTTTTCTCCTGTGGAATAGCAGATGGATTTGAACCATGTTCTTTCGGGTTGGCAACAAACTCTTTACCTCTAAGTTACTGAGGTTCCATTTTATATGTGTGTGTATGTGTATGTGTGTGTGTATTTGTGTATCTATGTATATAAAAATATGTGTATGTATATACATACACACATATATATACACACACACACTTATATATACATACATATGTTTTTTCCTATTGTCCTACATATGTATTTTTCCTATTGTCTTCTTGTTATCTTCTTCTGTTAAAGAGACTCCTAAGACTGAATAGGGTGTGGTAACAGGTATTCTAGGATGGTATTTAGAACCTCTTCACTTTCTTTACACATGAGACTTCAGGAGGGAGAAGATTCTTGACCTTGTCTGGTAGTGTTCATATATCACCTCATTTCACTGCAAGCTCTGCCATGCAAGAGGGATTTCATCACACCCGTTTCTCAAGTGAATGACAAAATGCGCAGAACTCAGAAAGCGGAGCTGAGGGGCATGGCTTAGAACCCATTTCTCTTTAAGTTCCAAACTTAGCTATCTTAATGGTATATAGCTATAAAAAGAAATCGTAAGAGAGAGTGAAAGGACACAGGTGAAAGAAAAAAGAAGGGAAATGCAAAATGACCCCAAAAGTGAATTACAAAACCAAGAGATTCCTAATAAAAATCAGTGGTGCATGTTTTTGCCTTGAGACTGGTTCTAAGGGAGTTTTTAGGGAGCAAAGACAACTCAGGAAATGAGACATGGCTGCGATGATAAAATTCCTTAAAAAAAATGTAGCCTCTGAGAAATAGACAGGCTATCTTATCTCAAGAGGAGAAAAAGGAAGAAATATGGCCAAATGAGAGGCAATTGTGATCCCGTCTTAATTTCTCTTTCTCTGAGCCTCCTCTCCCCTCCCCCACACTCGCTCTTGGGCTGCAGGACCAGGCCACTGTGTTGTGATATATGAGCCATAATTGGCATCATTACAGAGCAGTGATCTCACCAACTCCCCCACCTACTTCCCAAGAGAGGCAGGGAGGGTGGCAGCTGTGGTGGCAGCGGCAGTAGCAACAACTTTCTGAGGGTTCGTCATTGCCACCAAAGCCACTCCAGGCTACTATGATGGGGAGGTGTGGGGGGGTGGGGGGGAAATGGGGATCACTTCTGAGAGTGACCCAAGAATGTGCCCTCCAGGCCCAAGCCTAATCCATCTCACCCCATTTACAGGTCTTTGGAACAAGTCCCCTCCACACAGTGAAATCTACTCAGGGAGGGGCTCAGACTGGGAGGTAGATGGAGGGACAGAGGAGGGAGGAGAGGGGGTGGCTCTCTCTCCTTTCTTCCTCCTGCCTCTTTAGAGTCTAGTTTAGTCTCATCTTCCATGTCTGCTCTTTGCCAAGGTCTTCTCACCTACCCACCCACTCTGAATTACCATATTCATAGAACAGGCATCAGGCTGCAGGAGGAACTCGGAGTGCAGGCACCAGGACAGACATTTAGGCTTCCTTTCTGTTTTGATCTTGAAATAGCTCTACAGACAGGTCACCCACCTTCATACCTCCTCTCTAGATTGTTCTGAAGGGAAGTGAAGAGTCGGGCATTATGGCTCATCTTCCTGTAGCCAAGGCAGGTGAGTGTATGCAATATACATACTGAGTGGCCACGGGGAGTATTCTGAGTACATGTCACGGTGGATGTTGACTTCTTTCAGGTTTGTCTGTTCTTGATGCATTTTGTTGCATGCATGTCTCTGAGCCCATGACATACATGTGCCCTAGTGTGATGCATGTGTGCACATCTGTGTTTGTGTGACAGTTGACGGACTGATGTGCACAAGCCAGGCATCAGCTTGCTGCATGATGGATGAGATTTTTTATGACATCACTGCGCTGGGGTGTGTGTTTATTTATATTTGCATGTGTCAGTGGATGTAAATTTACAAGAAATTTGTTTTTATAAGCTTTTATAAGGGTCATTTAATCAGATTTTCTCCTGGGACTGTTCAGTGCCAGTTATGAGTACTGTTACCTCCTTGATTGAGTTAAGGAGAGGAATTCCATCACAGATGAAAGTGTCTGTCCACTCACATCCATCAGGCGTGAGGAGGAAGAGGAAGCCTTGGGCAAAGCAGTCAGCTTGGTTCACCACCACTCATCTATTACCCTTCACCTTCTAAAATGCCCAGATGACTAAATCCTTCATGATCCCACTTCTCTCAGCCTCGGTCAGGGTCCTTTGGACCAGTAGCTCTACAATATCTTCATGTCCTTTCTGATCATCAGAAAGAGAAATCACATGCTTTTCTGTTTGCCACTCCACTCACAGGAGTGCTGACTCTTACTTTAGGTGGATAATATTCTCATGAGCCCATGTAGTTCCACCTCTAAAAAGAGAGAGATGATCCTCTGCCCTCTAACCACAGCCTCACCTCTGCGCACACCCAGAAGAGTGTGTGAAGAGCATGCTGGCGCTTTGTGAGGCGGGGGAGGAATGCACACAGATAACCTTCTGCTCCAGACATCCCTGGCAATAGTTCCATAAATCACACTGGCCATGAGAAAGAACATTCGATTCCCTGAGCTTCTCATCATGGTCAATTTGGAAATCAGCCCAAGAGGTCAGCATCCCTTCCCTTAGATGAGGTCACACGAGATGCACTCCTGTTTCCTGGAGAGCCTCAGATTAATGCATCTGTCCAGACACCTGGATGCAGCCAGGCAAATCCCTGGCATAAGACCCCAGATTGTCAGTCTTCATTGTGAGTATGTTGTGAGCTGTCCTATCACCACACAAATGATATTTTGAAACAACTCTTTATATTCATTTTGGAGGCAGTTGAGATGCTATGGACAGACTTTGGGCTTTGGGGTAGGACAGGCCTCAGAATTTGGGTCATGCCATGTTAGCTATTCATGTGTTCATTCCTTCATCTGGGAGTTTTCTGCGTCACCCTAGAGAGTGTTGATTTTTTTTTGTACCCCATTGTAACCCTGACTGCTCTTCCCAGATTTACCCATATATCTGTGTCCTGGGATCTCTAGAAGGACAGAATCCAATCTCATTCATCTTTGTTTCTCTAATGCCCAGCACAGTTGTTGCTGTCGTGTACCATCGAGTCAGGACCAACCCATTGCTGACCCTCCCATAAGTTTCCAGAAGCTGTAAATCACATGAGAGAGGGCTGTCTGTCCTTCTGCACAGTACGTATTCCCAACAATCATTCAGATACAATCCCCAAGTTCCTGGAAAGACACGTCTTTCCCTACCAATCACCCGTCTGTGCCCATCATACCTATGGCATAGCCTTCAGGGCACTGCATTTTGACGTTGCTGTTGAGTTTGCTTGGCGCAGGACAGTGGCCTTGGATCTCCTTGCACATATGGAAGGAACCGCTCCAGGTGCCATCTTTCCGGCAGTAGATGGTGTTGCTCCCAAGTCCCTGAACATCACAGAAACATGATCAGGACCAACAGAGATCTCTAGTTCCCAACATCATAAGCACCTGAAGATGAAACTAATTATCAACTCTGCCAAGATCGGTGACTTCTTCTAAAACAATTTCTTAATGAGGGTGCAATGCCAATCCCTCTGGAAGAGAGAGGTAGTGTGAATTAGCACGCTACAGACAGGGACTCGGAGGGCTCAGTACAGCTCAGGGCTTTTCAAAATGTCAGAGAGACAGGAACCCAAGTGCCCTGACTCCTAGATTTTGTTCTTTCAGTCATCTTAATCAGAGCATTCGTCATAAAAATGCTGTTCTGCTCTGTCTTTGCACTGAGAATCCATCTGTTCCCAAAGGCTACTGCAGTAAGACCACTGGTCCTGGGGCTGCGCAGGAGCAGGGAGGTGCAAACAAACCAGTTTCCTTTCAACCTCTGAGAATATCTTGGGTCAAAGTTCTGCCATATACTGACTAAACAACCTTTTCCAACTGAAAACCTTCCTCTCCCCTCCTCTTTCCTCCTTCTTTCCTTTCATTCCTCTCAAGCAATAATGACACAAAGAGGATGAATGACAATGTGTCTATCTCTGCTCCCTCATTTCTTTAAAATAGACAATAATATACAGTTTCTCAATCTCTTGCACAATGTTAGGAAATTGCAGCTTGAAGGTATGTCCCTTCCTCCAGCCCTCCCTTCCAACCTCCAAAATGCTCTTCTGATTACATCTCGGAATTGTCAACTATGCTCTAGGAATATTTATTAGTGCCCACTCTCTACCCAGCTCCATCCGGTCCAATTCCTGCTCTTGTGAGCTGGTGGGGAGAGTTGCCTGAGTGGGCAACCATAACAGAAGTGTGACCGTGCTTAGTGGTAGCATGAAAGGATTGCTCCAGTGCTGTGAGTCCAGAGGAGGATGGAGGGAGGAAGGGAACAGCCAGGGATACTTCTCAGAGTGGACAACATGTGGAAGAGAGTTTTCACAGACAAGGAGAGTAACAGCAAAATTATGGAAAGGCATTCCTGAAAGAAGAAAGACATGTGCAAATGCAAGAGAGCTCAAGGAAGTGCAGAAACTCTGGTGTGGTCAGCCCCTGGTGTACTAAGACCCTGGGGTGGTTCTGATTCTGTGCCTCAAAGGAGGGGGTGGATGAGTGGGCACAGTACATAATGTAGTAAAGAGACAGCATGGGGAATTCAGAGTCTATCCCATAGGAGACAGTTCTAAGTAAGGATCCAGCTTTTGAAAGATTCAACTGAGAACACATGTATAGTCTTTCCCTTCTAGACTTATAATAAGAACAGAAGGTAAGTGAAGCCAGGGCAGCGTCCTACCGCTCTACCAGAGGGACAATCTAGTTAGTGACTCCTCATGACCTTCAGCTTCCCTTCCAAACTCCTGTGCTTGCCTCCAGAGCCTTGTTCGCAGCTTTCGCTCGGCTTGATTCTCCAGCTCATTGCTCCCCACAGCACTAGCGTCAACCCTGAACCTCTGCTCACATTAATTGCATTCTCAAATAAAACATATGCTGTTTCACATCATCATGCATTTGCACTTGCTGCTCCTTCTGTCGGCTGAGACCTCCTCCCATACTGGCCCACCTGGCAAGTATCTTCTTATTGGGCAGGAATCAATCATCCCATCGCCCTGATTTCAACAGTGTACGTGTTACCTTAATGTCTCTGGCACAGACAGCATTGCCTCTTTGTTTACCATCTGTTCCCCAACCAGATGATGGGCTTCCCAAGGCCGAGGAGAGTGCCCTAGTCATCCTTCTATCCTCAGAGCCTTCCACACACAGTGCCCAACCAGCCCTGGTGACTCTCATTAATCACCGACTTATAGATAATCTTGTTCAGTCAAGAGTTGTTTGTGTTAGAGTATTATTGAGGAGAGGAAATGGAGGGCAAACTGTTTTGGAACTATTTTTTAATGAAGAAGATTTAATGAAAATGAATGCGTGGATGAGGAGTAAATGACTCAATGAAGAAAAGCATGAGTCAAGGAATAAATGAACACATGCCTGGGAGAATGAACACATTCATTTAAAGAGCTGAGCCAGGCTGCAGTGCCCTTGTTTGAGGAAACAGCTGCAAATAAACAGGATTCAAAAGAGAAAGGGGGTTTCTCTCTGGACCAGAAGGAGGAGGGTTCAGTTGCAGAGGAAATGTCTCAGGCCACGGGAAAAGAGTAGCCCAGCCTGAGGGTGCAGCTTGAAAAGGCCTGCAAAGCCCCTTCCCAGAGGCTCAGCATGAGCTCAGGGTAAGTTCCTGAAGCATCACATGGCTCCAGAGAGCCCTGATTCCCCCTCCCCGGAGCCCCAGGCTCCAGGCCCCATGATTCTTTTGGGTCCTCAGGGGAGAAAGAAATTGACCCCAATTTCCTGGAGCCTTGGCCTGGGCCTATGATGTATTTGGCCCCCAGCCCCTGAAGGGCTGCAGACCTCAGCACTACGTAGGCAAAACAGGCTAGAGAGCTTGGTTTGTAGCAGAGAATGTACCAGAATTAGCTGGAATAAGGTGAACACATAAAGGACTGGTCTCATTGCCTCTAGTCACTGTCCATTCTGTCCAGTTCATCTGGCACTTTCTGCTGTTGATTCCACCTACCTGAAGTTATGGCATCTTTCTGTTAAGACACCTTAGCCTGCAGAGCAAAGGGAACCTGGGGGAATGGCATTCCTGTCCATCTACAATCTAACCCAAACTGTATTCTGGACCTCTTCTCTTTGTCCCCTGAGGGGACAAATAGTTACTGAACAAAAGGACAGAGGTTTCAGTTCACGGAACACAGGTCTGCTCTCACACATACGGGTCTCCTTAAGCACATCTGACTCCAGGACAATGGTCTACTGTGATGCACCCCAACCTTTATACTAGCAAATCGATTTCCTTACATCCCTCCCAATCTACCATTCTTGCTTGCCCACCTCAACACCTTCACCATTCTGTGTTCTCTAAGTAGGTAGACTTTCTGGAACACTCTGTAGTTTAAATGCTCCTTAAAGGTCAGATCTCAGTGCTCTTAGCACATGTCTATCGCCTGATATAAACGTCCTTCTGATTGAGTCTAGGTTGACCAGAGGCCTGGCATTTTTGTGCCTCCAACCTAAGAAGACCAGAGAACACTATTCCAAAGCACTCGCAGCAAATCTACTGAGTTGGTTTGGCTCTGAATGCACAATTCTGCATGCGAAGGTGGAATTTCTCACAAAAGGACTGGGTATCCCTGCATCTTTGTGGCTGTGCATCCATCTGTGAAAACGAAGCATGCTGCACTCTCTAACTTTCCTACCTTTGTAACTACACAGAGCTACAAAGAGCTGGAAGAAATATAATTACTATAATTACATTATTGAACACCTATATGTCATGCATTTAACATACATTTAAAACATCCCTTTAACAACACAATAGAGTCAGAATCATGTTCCATTTATAGATTTTGAAACTAACGTTCGGTTAGGAAGTAGAAAAGTCACTGTAGAAAGACATCATGGTTGGTAAAACAGTTGTTTTTATATGCTATTGTGGGAAGCAGGAGTGGCATCCACTTCCTAAATAACATGCCTCTGGAAACCCTATGAACTTGGATAAATGTCAATAGTTGTAGAGGGGCTTCAAGCCTTTTGTTCATGGGGTCGTTACGAGTTGTGCTCGACTTGAAGGCAATCAACAGCAACATACGCTTTTGAGTCAGAACCGTCTCACAGGTGACCCTCAAGTAGGTTTTCAGAGGCACAGGAAGGAGACTGTCCATCTTTCTCACCTGAAGCTGCTGGAAGGTTGGAAACACATGCCTTTGAGTTGGCAGTACAGTTCCTTACTAGTAGGGCACCAGCCCTCCCTAATAAAACTGAGGATCCGCATAAAAAGGGAAAGATGTTCAATGAGACGAACTGACATGTTGCCTGAAACACTGGGTTCAAATATAGCAACTCCTACAAGAAGGGTGAGAGACTGGCAATGTGTCCTTGTGCTGTACTCAGGGTTGCTATGCATCTGCATCAACTTGAGGACACCTAATAACCAACAATGTAATGGTCATGAGCACGAACTTGAGACCAATGCCTTTGGTTCAGAATCTCAGCTCTGTCACTTATGAGCTGTACAGATGTGAGAAATCTTGTTATTTCTCTAAAGTCTCCATTTCTTCAGCAGTTAAATGGGCATAGAAGTCCACTGTCTGGTAGAGTCATTTTGAGAAACAAGTAATCTGGTTAATGTGAAGTGTTTTGAGGCCAGAACACAGGGTTAGGTGAGGTTCTTAATCCAGTCCAGTTCTACTTGACTATCTCTAAGGTAACTTCAAAGTGAACCCAATCAGAGAAGGGAAGGTGCCAAAGCCAGGTTGCACAACTAGCAAAAATAAAAAATAAAAGTCTATGAACTGACAATAATGGAAGAAAGAAGGAGTGAGGAGGCATAGATTAATGAGTTAGATGTACTCTCTTCAGTAGAACAACATAAATAAAAAGAAAATCATGAAGGAGAGGATGGCAACATCAGGTCAAGATAGAACCAGGTAATGCAGGGCAGGAAATAAAGCGACCCTTTGGAGGGAGGCTGACCTGTGTAGAAATCTCAGTGTGACCACTTTCTAGTTGTAAAACATGGGTAAGCTACATGGAAATAGTAAAATCAAGTGTGGTGAGTTTAAATGAAGGCACCAGTAGCAAGCACTTGATCTAGCAACTGGCATGTAAAACCAAACCCAACTCATTGCCCCTGATTCGACTGTAACCCACAGAGAACATACAGGACAGGGGAAAACTTCCTCTGAGACTTTCCAAGACTGCAATCTTTACAAAAGCATGCTGCTACTTCTTTCTCCGTTAGAGCGGCTGGTGGGCTTGAAGCACCAACCTTTTAATTAGCAGCCAGACTCCCATCCACTATACCACCAGGCCAGGACTCCTGGGCATGTAACAAATTCTTGGTTAACTGTAGTTGTCACTGATTATTTCTCTCTCTTTCTGGTCAAGCTTTCGCAGAGTGGTGTGTGTGCTATGTGCTGTGCTGCTAATCCAAAAGGTCAAGGTTGGAACTGCACAGTTGCTTTGCGGGGAGAATTCTGATGAGAAATCTCTTTTTACGATTTACAGCTTTGGAAACTCACACTACCAGTAAGACTGATGGCAGTGGACTTTTATTTTATTTGAAATGATATTACAATGATGCCATACAGCCCCGAAGTGAAGATGCACATCAAGCAAAGCCTGTGCAGTGACATGGTTAGGAAACCTAACATTTGGTTTGAGACCTTGCTCTATGTGACTTGGGCTAAGTATTGTACCATTTCTGAACTTTTGCAGGTTTCACCTGTTGAATAAGTGTGTTGCAACAGGAGTTTCTGTGGTCCTTCCCTGTTCTAAGGTCATAAGGGTCTGTGCTCTGATTTTTCCGAGGAGGCCTCGGCATGACTGAGCCAGCATTTGGCAACCTTGAAAAAGATGTTGCCTGTAACCTGCATAAATGTCATCCATATGGGAGTCGCACTGTGGCCACAGAACTCATGAGGGTAAAGAGTCAGTCCCTGCCACTTGTGGCTTTCACAGCCAACTTCTGTCATCCAAGCAATGAACTGGAAGCATTACTGAGTGCACTCTCCCCTTCCTCTCTTGCTTCTGCTCAGTTGCTGGAATTTCTCTGTCTTCCCACAGCAGCCCTTGTGCAGGCACCTTCTGTGGAGCCTGCCCCATTCCATGCCGGTCCTGCTCATCTAATCACCTACAAAACCCTCATGGTGCTCTTTACGTGCAACAGCATTGGAGTTAGCCCCTCTAAAGGCCCAGGAGCATCTGAGCTGGATTAAGTGGGGAGACAATTAACACTTCTCTCGGGTTGTCTAGCTTTGGATCCCTCTGGCGCTAGCCTGTCAGGGAAATCTTTCCTCTCTCTGCTGGGGGAGGTGGAAAGGGCAGGGGCTGTGAAATCTAATTCCTCTCCATAACGATACTAATTCCTATCCATAACGATCAGTGAGAATTTTCCCCTCTGGGAGCCTTCTTCCCTCATATGTAAAATAGGAATATTGTTTCTTTTTCTAGTGTTAGGGTTAGGTGCAAGTTGTCAAGCCAAGAGAGCATCTGTACCATCACCTTGGCACCCAAGAAATACTAAAAAAGTATAACTGTTATTCCTAAAGTTTTCTGTTTGGGTTAGAGGAATACACATACAGTAATCTTCAAGGTAAACTGTCTAAGATGATACCACTAGTCATATAGGGGTATATACATTTAAATTTAAATTCATTAAAAGAAAATCTAATATTTAGTTCTTCAAGTGTTCCACAGTCACATGTGGCCAGTGGCTACCATACTGTACAGCATACGTATAGATCATTTTGTTATTAGTAAATCCCACTGGACAGTATTGACCTGGAAAGACTCAGTAAATATTCTATAGGTTTCTCTGACTCACACTAGTCTTCTTATCCCACATGTTGGCCTTATGAAAAAGGGCTTTGGCGTTTTAGAATTGTTAGGGTGCTGCCGGCCAAATGACTAGATTTCAAGTCCCTGCCTTTGGTTGGATAACTTTTCAGAGTCCCCATGAAGCTCAAGGATTCTCAACATTGGAAAGACATATTTGTGTCTTTTCTAAAGGCTGTATTTATGGTTGTACACTGCACAACTTCAAGTACTTGCAATACTCTGTATTTATTACTTCATTTCATCCTCACATATAAATCACTGCTGTTGTTCGGGGCTGTAGAGTATGAATGACTCTTGGACAGCAGACTTGAACTGGGCATTATTCTGTGTCTCCTCACCATCTCTGACACACTTGAGTCCACTGCTGAAGTCACTGTGTCGGTCCATCTCATAGAGGGTCTTTTTCTCTTTTGCTGACTCTCCACCTTTCCAAGTATGATGTCCCTGTCCAAGGAACAGCTTGTCCAAGCAACACAATCAAAGGATGGAAGACAAAGCTTCCCCATCTTTGCCTCCAAGGAGGATCCTGGTTGCACTTTTTCTAAGACATATTTGTTTGCTCTTTTGTCAGTCCATGAAATACTCAATACTCTTTCCCAACAAAAAATTGATGCTCAAAGGCAACAATTCTTCTTCAATCATTCTCATTCATTGTCTAGACGTGCAATAGGTAATTGAAAAGACCATGGCTGAAACAAGAGCACTTTAGTTTTCAGACTGACATCACTGCTCTTCAGTAATTTGGAGATATCTCTGACAGCAAACTTGCTCAGTGCAATACATCTCCTGATCTGCTGGTTGCAGGTACCAAACGGTGTTGATTGTTGATCTAAGCAAGATGAAATTATTGAACACTTCAATCCTTTCTCCATCTATCATAATGATACCTATGAGGTAGATAATATGATCTATTTCCATTATATACATGAGAAAACTGAGGCTTGGAGAGTAAAGTAACTTGACCAAAGTCCTCCAGCTGCTACCAGTATATGGCAAAGCTGAGATTTGAACTCAAGAGTTCAGGATCCAAATCATCCTGGTTTCCAAGTAATGAATGAAGTAGAGGGAAGACTAATTTTAAATGTGCTTTTAGTGGTAGTGGGAGGAAGTGTGTGGCTCCCTTCCTGTATACTACTCTTCTCCCCACTCCATCCTTTCCCGCTAAGGATCTGGAACTTGTTTGAGTAACAAAAATTTTTCTTCCATACAAGCTGTTAGATTCAAGACACCCTGGGCCGTACGTTTCTGCTGTGTTTACAGACAGTGAGAGGGGATCTGAGGTGAATACTAGATTTGGCTCTCAGGCCCCTGGTCTGAGGGTAGAGGAAATGCACTTTCAGTACAAACTCGAAACGTCAATTGTATCAGGAGCCCATTTGGCATGCACTCCCCTCATTCTTTGAGCCGACAAGCAATACCCTGCTCCTTTGAGTATAGCCTCTCTGCCAGTTGCCAAAGAGAGCTGCTTGAGTCATTTGATAAATTTACATTTTCTTCTCCTTTAAATACAAACTGGCCATGAAAGTTCCTTGGCAGGCCCCAGGCTGACTGGGTTTCAGTCTGATAACATGACCACGGCCAGAATATGATTTGGCTCAGCAGTTTGGGTAACTGTTAGCAACAGTTTTATGTAAGGGAGTGAGCGGGAAGTTGATCAGCCTGCGTGAGGCCATGGTAATCTCTAGCCTTTGCTTGTTCTGGCACCGGCTGCGTCTCTCATGGCAGTCAAGGATGGCAGTGGCTCGGAGCACAGATGCCCCTGAGTTTCCAAACAAGGATTTTCAGAGAGTGTCTAATTGATGCCCTCGATTTACAGTTAGGGGGACCTGCGTTCTGAAAATGACACTGCCAGGGCCAGTAATGTCACTTAAACTGGCTGAGTAACCTCTCTGAATTTTCAGTGATTGGTTTATTTATTATCCTTCAGTCTGGAAAGAAGAAACTGACTTATGTGCCAATTGTGTTCTTTTATTCTTTTTATATTGTTATTCTATTCATATTGTTATTTTTGCATTGTTACATTCTATTTATATTGTTATATTCTATCTATATTATTCTTCTATGTATATTGTTATACTCCATTGAGCTAGAACCCACTCATAGCTGATCTTCTAGATGGTTTTTAAAGGCTGTAAATTTTATGAAAGGAGACAGCTATAAATAAACAAACAAATACAATATCATGTTATGAAGAAGAAAATGAGGCCTAAAGACAGAATATCTGTATTGGTTATATTCTTATTATACACAATTCAGAAATAAGTAGACAATCTCCTGGAGAAAGTGGTTCTTACAATGTGGTCACTGGTAATGGCAGCAGAGAGGAATAAAAGTATTGCTGTCAAGTTCAAGGAGGCTTACCTGGGAGGCATCACTGTCTTCACACTTGATTGTACACTGGCTGTTGAAGGAGTGGCCATTAGTGCAGCTGTAGATTCCTAAGAACTTGGCTGGAGGTGGGTCACAGGTCACAGGGTCACATTTCCCCTCTTGCCAGCTGCCATCCTGGGTGCACTGTATCTTGAAAGCCCGTCTTCGGGTAACAGTAAAAGAGACATCTTGATGACCCAATGGGCATACCCATGTCCTACTGAAACACTCAATTTTCCCTTTGAGCTGCCTAAACCCTGATTCTCTTCCCTCAACTATGATTCTCTGCCTCTTATTTTAGAGTGGGACATTGTAGAGATTAAGCACATTCATTGACATTTTCAGCAGGTGTGTTAGCCTTCCTTCTAGTTACATGCAGAGCTCAAATTCAAACCCTGCCAGCCCTTCTCATCGTCTTTCCCAGATTCTCACCAGAGCTGACACAATGACGGCATTAATACCCACCAGTGAACAACTACAATGTGCAGGTATTTTGTTAGCACTTTACACGCACCTCCTTATGTAGTCTCCACAAGAACCTTACGTGGCAACTGTCATGATCTTATTCATCTCAAACCCCAGTCAACCCAAACCTGCCTCTAGCAAGGAAATGAGCACTTCTATTCAATTAGGTTGTCAGACCTGACCCTCCTCCCCAGAGCTCAAGAGTTTTCGTTTCTAGCTCCACTTACTTTTTTGACTTCCGAGAAGCGCCACGGACGTGGAACCCAGGTTTGCACTTGTACTTGCAGAAAGAGCCCACCTTGTGCTTGTTATCCCGGCATCTGGCTGTCTGGAGGTCTGCGTTCTCCACTGGGGGTGGAGCCAGGCACATGAGCTCACACAGAGCCTCTGGGAAGGACCACAGACCATCCTCCATGCAGGTCAAGAAGCTGTTGTTGCCTGGAGGACACAGGTAGGCAAGGTTAGCAGAGAGAAGGGTCTCTGACAGCCAGGGTAACTCATGAGCTGCCTGGACTTACAGAGATATGAAGAACCAGAGGATGCTCCAGGTGGAGGACCTGGGGAATTGAAGGAGACCTCTGGTGGCATAAGCCATTAAGAGTGATTGCCGCCAACCCAAAAGTAGCACCTTTCTGTGAGTTGAATCCATCAGCAACTCCACAGGAGAAAGATGAGCAATCTCCTTCTGTGCAATTTGCAGCCTTGGGAACCCACTGGGAACCAGCTATGAGTTGGTACTGATTTGGCAGCGATGACCATTGTGTGACTGAGTGAGTAGGGAGTCAAAAGTATTGCCACAAAGCTGTGGCCCACATGGATGAAGCGATTTGCTCTACATCAGTTCACTCCCTCATTTTCTTAACACCACAGAGTTGGAACCAACTCACTGCTGACTTTCCTCCACTGGGTTTCTAGAAGCTGTGAATCACATGAGAGGACCTAGCCCATCAGAGCCACTGGTGGAGTTGAGCTTGGGTTAGCAATGTAATTCTCTATAGACTACACCGTTTGAGTTTTAAGTCGGTATCTACAGTGTTTTCAAATTCAAGCTTCCTGTCTACTGATCCTGAACCTTTTCTGGACTAATACAGATAGCTCCTCCTTGCTTTCCAAGTAGGACATATAAGCCCAGAGATGAAGGTACTTGCATTCTAGACACTGATCTAAGCTGCTCTCAGAATTTACTTGGAGCGCTCATCTCAGTATGTCAAATAGAATCAAAGTACCACACCCATTCAGGGTCCCTATATCCACGTAGCTACACTGGTGTCCTCAGTGCCTGCAAGTGACACCATCGTGTGGTCTGGAGGCTTGGTTTTCTTTTCAGGCTCCTGTGCTCAGTGAAGTTTTGCCAAAGCAGCTGAGCGAGCAGCACTTCCTCTGCAGCCTGTGCCAGCTCTGACAGACGTGTTGATTGCCATCAGGAAGCTGGCCTGATGGGGAATGTTGAGAATGAAAGTAAAACATGGAGAGTTAGGCTTATCACTGCCAGATCGTATATTATTGAGGTACAGATGGCCCAAAACCTCCCTAAGACAAAATTAGAGGAGATGAAACTTGTGTTTCTCAACCAAATTCTCCTTTCCCCACTTATTACTGAATGGTGTTGACAACCAGGGCAGGACATGTGCTGGAGGCTCCAAGATTTGAAGGTTGGAAAGTCTGATAGGGAGCGGTAGGGAGTGATAGGGAGGGAGCTGACATTTACTAAGCGTTTTCTGTGAACCGAGCACTTCTGATGTGCTGTCTCATTTCTTCTGGCATCTGGCAGTGAGATGAATGTGACAATTTCCTCTTGAAAATAAAGGCTTACAGAAAAGAAAATGACTAGCCTAAGACAACACTGGGACTTAAAAGGTTTTGGATAACTACAAAGATGGTTGTTTTTACGAGAAAGTTGGTTATCTCTGTTCATTGCTGTTTGTGTTAGCTATTTTGAGACAGTCTCCTGTTTGTAGGAAGAAAACAAGTGATGCTTCCTGTAAGGGTTTTTGGGTAGGTTAAACGAGACAACATTCATGAAGAATATCTGGAATAGTGCTGAGAAAATTCCTGCTTTTCTCTTAACTACCTTTCTTTGCTTTTCCTCTTACTCTGTTACCTTCACCAGCAAACGTGTATGGACCAAGGGAGTTGAAACCTTCAGTCACATCACAAGCTTTATTCAGTGACTCCTAATATGCCTCATACTGCTTCATATGCTGAGGACAAAGCATTGAACAAAACCAGTCAAAACCTTACCCTCATGAAGCATGTATTTTAGTAGGAGTGAGAGGCACAGAAATTACCTAAAGTATCTGCTGAGTTAAAAGACAGTGAGTGGCATGGAGAAAGGAAAGCAGGACAGGCAAGAAAGAAGGGGGAGAGTTGTTTGCGATCTGATGGTGGCTTCCTTTCTTCTCTCATCCTCCCCTGGATGAGGGTCAGTGAAGGAGAGGAAGACTCTCAGTGACGTGGACTGACACAGTGACTGTAGAAATGGGCTCAAGTGTGTTAGAGATGGTGAGAATGATACAGGGTAGGACAGGGTGCAGATCTGCTGTTCATAAGGTCACTATGTATAATACTCAACTTGATGGCACATAACAAAACTATACATTTTTCAGTGTCATTTCTCCAATGAGCATAAACCAGTTCAAACACAGGGCAATCTGCAGCCTTCCAAAAAACTTTGGTGTGGGTAAATGTTAACGCATAGTCCACCAGCATTTGGGTGTGCCAGAATGAAAATGGCACTGAAACAGAGGAGGGAGAGAACCGTTTAAAAGAGAGATATAACTGGGTATTTTTGTCATCACAGGAGACTAGAGCGAGGACCTGGGGGAGGGTTTGTAAAACAATGAAAGAATCTTTTCTTTTACTTTTCCATAATTTTTGGACTCATGTACTTATAACTTGTTAGTCAAATTTGTGTCTTCTAGGTTGCAACACCCCCATGATACATCTTCAAGGATATGAACATGTACAGCCAAGCACAATCAATAAGAGTGCATCTAAATTCCAAAATCAATCTCCATAATAGTCTGTGTGTTTCCTACTGCCAAAGGGGCCCTTTAGAGTAGTGAGAGAAGATCTTCACCCTGAAACCCACAGCGTCCCTTTTCAGCAGGAAGTAGCTAAGAGAATACGCCATCCCCTTTTCCTTATGACTCAGGGTGAAGTCTCTCTCAGGGAGGAGTGATAGGGAATGGCAAAGGACACACTGACAAAGAAGATTAATCAGAACTGGCTTTGACAAGCACTGTGGCATTTGGACAAGAACAAACTGGGAGGAGGATAGAGAGAATAGTGCAACAATGAATGAATGGAAGCCCAAAATCTCTGTAAATGTTTATGAAAATTAATAAAATATAATTTAAAATAATAAAAAAAAAATTTAAAAAAAAAAGAAAAAGAAAATGGCAGTAGGGCCTGGCTACGTCTGCAGACTGGTGGCTACTGGGAATTGGTGTTATGCTGATGGAGTCTTGCGCCTTGCTAAGGGTCATGTAAGGAACGTTCAGGGTTCTTTTGGCTTTGACCCCAAGTAGGGGTCAGCATATTGAACTTGCCAGATGGCTTGCGGGTCTCTGGCTCATAGTCCACCAGCATTTGGACATGTCAGAATTAAATGGTACAGCAGTTGTTTATTTGCTCTACTAAAGTAACTTGGAGTTGGTGTGATGGTGAACATTTGTGCCATAGGTGTGTACACACCATAACTGGCTACCCATCATGGGAAGTGTTAGCGGGAGCTCCTGGATTGATTGAAACTTAGAAGCAGGAGCAGCATTCACTTCCTAAACCGCATGCCTCTGGAAACTTTGTGATGGCCTTTGTATTTAAATGTTGGTTGGGCCCGCCCGAGAGCCTATTGCCTCTTGCTATTGCTATTTCATTCTGGAGGAACTTCTAAGCTGTATAGCAAGCACTCTTCTCTCAGTCTGCTGTACTAAGTTCAATTTGGGTTTGCTGTGAAGCTGAACCTTTTGCCATTGGGGGTCAAATGCCATAACGACTGCCCATGATGGACAGTGTTTGGTGGAGCTCCCAGTTTTAAAAGAGGTTTAGAAGCAGGAGTGGTATCCACTTCCTAAACCACGTGCCTCTGGAAACACACCCCGAAGAAACAAACGACAATAGTTACAGAAAGGCTTCAGGCCTTTTGTTCATAGGGTTGCTATGAGTTGTCCTCTACTTAGAGGCAATGAACAACAACAACAACAACAACAACAACAAATGTTAATAAAGAAAAATAAATTGCTTCTATAGCAAGTGAAAAGAGATAAGGGCCCAAAAGGTTGATACGAACCATTTAACTTGTAGAGAAGCAGAGAATCTTCCAGAATACCACAGACTATATAGCTTTCTTCTTGCTTTGTCCTTGCAATCAGAATAGTCTTTTGAAGAACTCAAGTGCCGCAAAAGCTTACAAAATCCCCCAAGAGAGAGAGCGTAGTTTTTGATAAAGGTTTAAGATTCTTAAAATGTAGCATACATATAATACAAATTACAAATGGTGAACTGAAAGCCATTGTTCTCTTGCAGCAGAATAATGTGGAGGGAAATGCTAAATGTTATTCAAGAGAGAAAATGCGAACCACGAAGGAAATGTGGAGAGAAGAGGAATAAGAGTTAGCAGTGACCAGAGTTAAGAAAGTAACCAGCAGGAACTGTTGACTCAGGACCATGGACATGCCCTCTCCATCCCTTTTCCAGCAATGAAGAGAGTTCAAGGAGATGCAGCCATTAAGCTGTGCCAAATATGTACTTTCATGCCCCAGCTGTAGCCACTGTCCTGGCATCTACAATGAAGTTTGGAAGAAGAAGGGTACGCCAGGTACTGTCTATGCCCTGCCCTCTGTTCCATGGGAATAACCCTTGTATTTTGAAGGCTACTTACTCACTGCATCTACTCCTTTTTCTTTTACTGGTCATGGATGCATGCCCAGCCCACATATAGGGCAATCTCAGAATACTGAAGAATTAGTGCTTCTGGAAGTAGCATTCAATCAATGACAGACTTGGTAGATAAACACATGAGTTTTTATAGCAGGAATATCCCGAGGACTATTTCATACCACCTCTCAGAGATAATTCCAGAGAGATTATAATTTAGTTGCCCACAGTGCTAAGTAGCTCTACAAGAAACTCTTACTGACTTTCATTCTCTCTCTTCTCCACTTGTAATGACTATTTCTAAATGGAACATGACTCAGAATATAGCTAAATGTTAGAGTTCTCAGGCAAGGGCTGAGTTTAGAGATGAGAAATGCTATACATCCCAATACTTCTATTTTCTCATCTTTTAACATTAGGACAATTAATCTTCCACAATCCTTCTGCAAATGTGATCAGAGATTTCATCCGCTAATAAGTACTAGAATGATTTGTAAACTGTAACAACGACAACAAAAGATGCACCTATTCTTATTATTCCCTTTAAAAAACTACTGAGAAAATCCAATCTTTCTAGGAGTCCCTTTCACACCAAAATTAACAAAGAGCAGGGCACACAGAGTGAACTGTTACCTCTGGTTTTCTTAGCACTTGTCACATTGTGCTGGCACTGTTCGCTTTTTATGGCCAGGGACTCTTGTCCCTTTACTCCCAGGGCCAAGTCCAGTGTAGAAGGTCAGGGACAGGATAATGAGCCATCATGCAGGTCTTCAGAAGGACATTCATTGGAGAAAACTAGTATTTACTATGTGTTTCCTCGGGGTCTTGGCTTATACAATCACTTATTTTCAACATCAACCAGCGCTCCAATGTGTTCACTCCTAAGTCTGCTTTACTAGAGAAGATACTGAGGTTCACAGACATGAGTAAATTTTATCACCTGACCCCCAACACCGGGAAAATGGCAAAGCCAGTTGGACTGGTTCCATAGCTGGTGCTCTTTTTTGCTTAAACCATGCAATGTGGAAAGGGAAATTGAAGACTGCAAGAAGAGCACAGAAAATATTGAAGAGAAAAAAGTTGTTTGTTCACCTGTTTACCTCCTGGTTTGAGAAGGAAGGCAAAGGAGGTGGTATTAACAGGCCCAAGAGAGAGTTAACAAGACTTTTCTCCCAGTTCTCAGTGTAGCTTTTCTAAGCAAAAGCATAAATCCTAAAATCTGCATTCAGATGGAGCTCAGGACCCAGTTACTTGAAATACCACTTGGTCCCAGTGAGCAAATGTGGCAACTTGTGTTCTTACAGGAAGAGCAAAGTTAAGATCAACATCAACTAACAGAATGAGAATCCTCTTGGAGTTTCATCTTCACAGCAGGGGACACACTCCCCCATCTTCTGCAGAGAAGCTAAGGCAGAAGGGTATGAATCACTTTGATTAAGAATTATTATTAGCCACAATGTGGGCTGTAATAATCAATGCTAATTTATACACCTCTCTTTCCCAAGGGCCTCTGATTGAGAGGAGAAGTATGATTTCCTAGTCTGGAGTTATTAATACACCACACATCTGGGCAAATAGGGCTTGGAGAAGGACTCAGATGGCCCGGAAGTCAGAGAGTTTACAATTTCCACTGGTCACATCATCTCCCTCTAATCTAAATCCTTACGAGTTCTCAAATGAAATGCCTAGAGCTTTTTCATTGAAATGTTCTTCATTTAAAAAGGAAGGGCTGTTTATTAGAAATGCTTCCTTCCTTTCTTTCTTTCACAGCACTGATGGGTCTTTCACTCATTTTTTAAAAACAAATGTTAACAGGGTATTTCTTTCAGCAATTCAGCCAGCCAATCAATGCAATTTAGTGGATTTTATTATGTTCCAGGCTTTGTGTTTGTTAAAAGAACATAGAATAAGATTAGACTCACTGTCCAATACAGGGACTTATAGTCTAGTATGGGTTCTGAGCCTTTTGGAGTCACAAGGTCTTACCTTTGGAGTCTATTTGAAAATTTGATGAAATGATTGATCTCTTTACAAAAGCTCAAAGCTCACCATACACAGTATTGTGTCTGTGTGTGTAAATGCAGACTTCCTTCTTTATTCTTCAGAAGACCACTCATATACAGACTTCCTAATTCTTCAGAAGCCCACTCATATATACTGTCCGGAATTAGAGACTCCACAGTGAGACCTCATGCTCAAGTGCCATTATGTTCTTGGAATTTGATGGTGGAGCAATGTTGCCCCTAATAAACTAGGCAAAGGAGAAGGTTCTAGTGCCTCTCAGAATTGTGCATAATGTTGGATCCAAACACTAAACTATAAGGAGCATTCATCCTGAAAACATCACCATAATTTTGTACATATTTATTTTCACAGGACTCTAGTTTTTCCAACTTTCCAATCATCTAGTTAGGCTTGATGTGCTCTGAAGACACTGGCAGTTTGGATACTGTGGAGTTCCTAAGCCAGCCTCTTAGTCATTTCCAAGATTTGGCCTCTTCTCCAACATGTCTGACTTTGTTTTATTTAGCTCTAGGTTTCTCGGACCTAGCCCAAGATGACAACATCAAATGCCTTCAGTCTACATTCACTCCTCTGCCTAATCAGTCCGACTTAAGGACTAGCTGTCGGCTTTAGAGACAGACAGACCCACCTGGCTTCGAATGTGGCCTCTAAACTTACTAAATGTGCGATGTTGGACAAGCTCTTTAAATTCTCTGATATTCAATTTCCACCTCTCTGACAAAGAGAATCATATTAGCACGTATGTTTTAGGCTCTAATCATGCAAAGAAAATAAGTCACATCTGTTCCCAACATTACTCTCTCTTTTTCCCCCCTTTGTCTCCCTATTTTTTTTCTCTCCTTTCTTTCAAGGTTTGCAGGGGTCTAGAATCTCTATCCATATTCTACCTTTTTCTTTTTTCTGCACACTCAGAGAGTTTCCACACATACACTTGGCGGAAAGAAATCAGGAGTACACAAAATCACATTCAACCTTCAGTTTGGGGCCCAGGAAAGAAGGCCTGGGAACAACCTCTTGGCTTATCACAAATGAAGCAAGCCTCGTGGAGTCAAAGGACTGAGTACCTTTCAACTGCGCAGGGTGACGACACTGGAAGGAGCACGTGCTTCCAAATGTGGTCCCTTGGAGGCAGGTAAAGGAGGCTGCGTACACGTGGTGCTGGTCAGGCATGCCACAGTCCACTGGCTCGCACGCCACCTGCTTGTTCCACTTGCCCTCAGTGCAGGTCACCGTGACGCTATGTCCTGTCTGAAAGACAGAGAGTGAAGGGAGTAGAATGAACTTCCCCAAATGTGGCAAAATAACCTTGTCATTTTGACTATAGGTCAAAGTCTTACCTGAGCCCAAGGAGACCAATGTTAACTGCCTAATTTTGCTTCATTTCTTTGTGATCGTAACAACTGTATACATAAAACAGTTTGGTTCTCACTTTACAGATGTGGAAATTGAGTAGCTTCTTACCACAGGGCCACCAGAGCTCCTCTATCCATCTATGCTGTTGTTGTTGTTGTATACCATCGAGTCAGAACTGACCCGGAGCTGACCCTCTGGTGGGTTTTCAGAGGCAAGTGATTGCACAGGAGGAGATTTCCCATCCTTGTCCTGCAGAGCAGCTGGTGGATTTGAACCACGTGTTTTCGGCATTGCAGCACATCTTCTTACCACCAGGCCTTTAGAGCACCCCTATCTATCTATAGCTTTCATAATTATGCTTTCATTTTATTAATGAGAATCTTTAACCCACAGACCTCACAAGATATGATGACTTCTTCCAAGAAACCCTCTATTTTCTCTAGGCTCTAAGTTTCAGGAGCCCGCTGTTTTGCACAGAGAAGGCTTTACCTGAGGATACAGGAGACCTGTAAATCCATCTTCTTTGCTATGAGACTATATGTAATTCTCCTATTGTTAAAATGGCACACTGAACCCAAGGATTGCTGGAAGAGCTCCTCCCTGCTCAGAGATTTGATTAATAGTAAAGAGATGTAGACATGAAGAAGGAACAAGACTGGAGAAAGTGAAAGGGTGACAGAGAGGTGCATGGGTGGGAGGGTGAGGCCACACTCCAGAGTTTAGGGAGGGAAAGTCACCAGCTGCAGAGAAGTTTCCTTTCAAGGACACTGCCAAATCTCAGGGGACAGGGGACTCCAAGTGTTGATCTGGGATTTTTAAGGCAGTGTTTTCCCCACTCTTAAGTACACATCAAAGAGAATAGAGGTTCTTTACTGCTAAAGCAGCCTAATTGTTTCCACAGGAATTCAGACCTGAAGCACAGCAGTAAATGTCTAAGAAGAGTAATCGAGGGTTTCAGAATTCCCAAATGGGAAACTATTCAAGCCCTGACGCTGTGTACAAATAGGCATTCCCAACAATGAGGGGTTTTACTGATGGACTGTAATCTAACCCTAAGTGGACAGCTAGATCCTTCTTTGTCAATCATACATCGAACCATGTCACTTCCTTCAATTGCTCCCTGTTGCCCTTAAGAGAAACAACAAATTTCCTGACCAGGCTGATGGGTTCTGAAGAGTTTGTCCCTGACTGCCTCTCCAGCTTCACCTCTAGGGCAGCTCTTTCTCACAAATAGGCTTCCACATACTGTTCTTACCTATATTAAAAGCACATCCTCCCTCCCTCTGGCCCTCCATCCTTCCCAACATACAATTCTTTGCCCAACTGTCTCATTTTCATATCTTCTCTACTAGACAGCATTTGTGGAATTCCCCTGTATTTGGACAGCACCCTGTATGTCTCTTTACAGTGTTTATTATGCATTGATTGCTCCTCCTCTTCCTAATATGTTAATGACCTCCTTTTCTGTAGTACTTTGTACAATATCTGGTTCACAGTAAACAGATGGTTTGCAATAAAGGAACACCTCATTGTGAGAGGGCCCATCTCTTTCTAGAGTAGTTCAGTCAATCGTGGCATCGTTCTGACCATAAGTAAGGGTCATTCCAAAATGCCTGAGCCCTTGTATTCCAGATCCGCATTCTACACACAGCCTCATACATATGGTGTCTATGGAACATAGAAAAGACAGCCTTACAAATTCCAGACCAATCTCTCTAATCCTGTAGCTGTTCATTCTAAAATATATATTGAGCATCCGCCATGTGACACCATTCAATAAACGTACTGGAGAGTCGCTTGAGAACAAGACCAATACCTGATCAGCCCTCCCTCGCCGGCAGGGGATCTGAGCCCAAACTTGTGCATACCTGGCTCTTGATCAGCTCATCATCCCGCTGGATCTGGAGCACGTAGCCCGTCCGGCAGCTCACAGAACACTGGACCCCGTGGTAGCGGTCACTGCTGGAGCAGTTGAGGGAAGCATTATCCACAGTCAGCTCTGGGCAGTCGGTGGCCTCACAGGCTAAGTGGACACAGCTGAGAAGAGAAGGAAGAGGATAAGAGGGAGTTTCCTCCTCAGGACAATTGTACTTCATCAGAATGATGAAAGCTAAGGGTCTCCCTCTTCAAAAGTTAAGAGGGCTCAGACTGAGCAGTAACAGGGGAGCAAGCTTGGGTGAAGAAGGTAGCTCTGGAAACAGTAGTTAAAGCTTACCCTTAAGAAAACCCATCAGGGCTCATACACTACCATTTGATAACTTAGTATATTAGCAAACTTCAATCTTCTCAGAGTCTCAGGTCTTCCACATGTAGAAATGGGATCAAGATGATAATACCAAGTATTTCTTTCATGTCTGTCTTTTCCTCTGCCAGATACTAAGTCAAGGAAAGACTTTTTTTTTAAATAGAACCCACTTTCAAGTGGTACTATGAGAGTTAAATAAAAGACTTAATAAAAAAAATGCATAACAAAGCTCTTGGCATGTAGCTTGTGCAAAACAAAAAAAGGCATCTGATGTTAGAAAACTCTCACCCAGTAGGTTAGCTTGCTGTACTGCCATGGATTGTGTTATTACAATGCTAAAAGCTGTTCTACTGGTATTTAAGATCACTCACAGTGAACATGTTTCACTAGGACTTCCAGACTAAGACAGACTAGGAAGTAAAATGTAGAGATCTACTCCAAAAATCAGTCAACAAAAATAAAAGGATCACAAAAGAATGCTTTCTGATATAGATTACAAGATCCTTAGCTTGGGAGAGAGTGAAGACACGATGGCTTCAACAGAGGATGAGAGCGTTAACAAGAGTTGTGATGAGGTTACAGGACTTGGCAAGGCTTCTTTCTGTTAATACATGGGGAAACCACGAGGCACAGCTGAATTGATGGCAATTAACTACCCTCAACAATAAAGTAAATCTGCTTTCGTTAACCAGAAGCTGTGAGACCATGCCCAAGGTGCCGCTCTGCATTTCAGTGTGCCTTCCAATTCTATGAACATTCTGGAGCCAGGAAACTCAACAGGAGTAACAAGTTTAGAAATTCTTCTTAAACTCTCAAGTGGCACAGAGAACATGCATTGTTTCCTGCGGTGGCCCCTGTTCCTTCTTCTGTCAATTGGATCCTTCTTACCCTGCAGCTGAAGTTCCACGTCAGTTTCTACAGGGAGTGTTCTCAGCTGAGTTCCCTCAAAGGTGCTTCCTGCTTTAGGTTTGGAAAACACAGGCTATGGGCATCTACCACGTGCCGCCACGTGTGCTAATCCTCAAGGATGCAAACAGAAACATGCTCCTTGTGCTCGGGTTCTCTTTACATTATAGCTGTGCAAACACTCAGTACCATTAGTTACTATTCGCTGCTTGCTCGCTTGCTTACACACATGAGCTCACTCCATCCTCACAACAACCTTATGAGCTAAGTGTTACTTATTTTACAGTTGGAAAAAATTGGGGTGAAGCAAGATCGGGTTACCTATTTAAGTGTGCACAGCTAGTTAGTTGCAGAGTTGTAATTCCTACCCAGATGTGAGACTCCAAAGTTTTCATTGTTCAGCTTACCTCACACCCCTGGACTATAACGTCCTCGAGTAGAGAGAAAAGACCTGTTTCATCTCTGAAGAGTTCACATCACCGATAAAAAGGTTTTGTATAATAGATGGTCCCAGTTAACAATAAATTGAAGGTGGCTGTGTATAGCAGCAGCTTTTAAGCATTTGGATGCTGAGATTTTATTTCCTAACACTGTAAGCTTCTAAAGGACCATTCTACAGTTCTTGCCTGTCTAACCCAACAAGCCAGCATATAGCACAAACTTGATTTAGATACCTAGATTTGCATCTACAGCCTTACTGACTTTATCTGTTTATACCTAGCTTTAGAAGGTATCCCCTCCTTTCCCCCCCCCTGCCAGTTTCAGTATTCCCCTGAAAACCTAGCTATTCTTCTCCACGCTGTCACCTGCTAAAAAGTATGGTGAGGACTAAGAGTGGTGGATCTAGAAGTCTCTCGACATATCAGAAACAGATTCATACTTTAAAAAGGACTCATTGCTGTGGAGTTGGAACTGACTCACAGCTGAGGTTTTCGGAGTCTGCACGAGAGGAGACTGTCCATCTTCCTCTTGCTGAGAGGCCGGCGGATTCAAGCTGGCAGAGAGGCCTGACCTTTTATTTAGCAACACAACTCCCTACAGATGAGGCCACCAAAGCGCCTTCACATTTTGAAGTGGCTGCAAAAAGAAAAGCGTTTCATATAGGTCTCAGATTGCCATGGATGTGGGCTCTGCTCTCTCCACTCTGCCCCTTATGAAATGCTGGGCCACATGGGTGAAAGTCACATTTCTTGAGAGATTCTACTTACTCTGTCCTGCCTGCACCTGACAGTCTCGGCCTTGTGCCACCTGGAGACCTTGAAGAGGCTCTAACTGTGGCGTCAACACAAGGGCTCTGACACCAAACAATGCGTCTGTTCACGTTGTGTAAGCACAGGGAGGAAAGACCACATGGTTCAAATTTAAGCAGTTTTACTCTGTAAACTACCAGCTTCTAAACTGGTTTTCTGACCGATGCTTTGCAGTTCGGCCATTCTCACTCTGCCTTCCCGGAAGGCACCTGGGATCCCTTCTTGTAAGGACTCAATAGAAAGATGACTCTTAAAGTCTTAAAGGTTGTCCATGCTGTAAAATTTGTTCTTCGCAGAAAATAAAAAAGGCTAAGCAGAAAACGACTTCACAGAAAGTATAGTAAAATCACAGTGTTTAGCAATCCAATTTCAGCATTGCCACTTATTGAATATTTGACCTCAGAAAGTTTTATAACAACCTGAGGCTCCATCTCCTCATCTATAAAGTAGAAAGAATGATGTGACTTCTCTCTCAGGATTATCAGCAGAGTGAAATGAACTGTTCATTCATTCATTCATCACACTTTGAAAGTATATCCACTTGTGGACTAGACATTGATGCAGACACTGGGAATACAGAAATGGAGAGCACATATAAGGTTCCTATCGTGCTGGATGTTTGAAGAATGAGGGCATGTGTCACAAAAAGATAATAACAATTTCAGGAGCTCCAGTGGCCTAATGGATAAGGAGCTGCAAATCCAAAGGTACGTGGCTTGAATTCACCAGCTAGCAGCTGCATGGGAGAAAGATGGGCAATCTCCTCTAAAAACCCACTGGAAGGTCAGCTATAGTTTGGTTCTGACTCGACGGCACGCAACAACAAACATGAAGTAAAGGCACTAAAACAAGGTAAAATCATAGAGGTAAGATTTGGTGCAGAATACTTTCTCTAAAGGGGTCTGGGGAAGCCTCTACACAGAAGGACCATGTGGACAGAGACCTGGATGAGATGAAGAAATCAGCCATCTAATTCTCTGGGGCCGACAGTGTCATGCAGAATAAAGAGCAGATGCAAAGACCCAGGGACAGAAATGTAACTTTATATATCTTGTAAGACAGAAAGGTAAGTGTGTGAGAAAATGTTTTGGAAACTGGGAAGCTCTAAGTAGAATATGATCTCTCTACTCTGGCTCTATCTGCTATTGAAAGGAAAAGAATCCCTGGTCATGAACATGAAATTAATTACACCAGTATTTCCTATAGTTTTATAGAAAATGTTCATGTGAGCTCCCTGAAAAAAAGGTACCCCGGTCAAATGAGCATGTGTGGCACTGGATTAATGAGATCAATCATCCTGCTTTCCCGAAGGACTGCTCCGAACCCCGAACATTCCATCACATAAAGGGAATTTCTAAGGGACTAAGATACACATGATTTTCCAAACTTTTTTTTTCATAGACACTTCCTACAATTATTGTCTTTCAAAACATACTTTGGGGAAGGAGGCGTCTTTGGCTTTTTAGCACAACTGAGAGAACTTATCCTACTGGTCCAAAGCAGGTGGGGGTGGGGAGCAGGAAGAGGAAAGGGAAGTAATTTGTGCCAGGCATTGGCCACTGCGTTTTCCCTACATCCCTTTACTACATCGGCAGTAACACCAAGAGGTGTTGCTATCACTTTTGTTTTTCAAGAGGAGACTAAGGCTGAGACATAACCAAACTCACTCAGCTTTGACTGATACCCATGCAGTTCTCTGTTCATCCCTAAGTTCCTGCTCTTCCCTTTGTGACTGAAAACAGTTATGTGAATCCATTCTCCTAAAATGAGAAACACTGCTCCAACTGCCCCTCCCAAAGAACTCTCTGACACAGGTCTGTCATTTCTAAAACACAAAACCAAATATCAAAACAAGAAAAACAAAAGTCTCTGGCTTCAGAGAGAGAAGAGAATGGATTTTACTACCAGTTAAAAACAACAACTTAAAAGCACCTCAACAAGAAAAAGGCAAACAACGTAATAAAAAATGGGTACAGGATATGAACAGACACTTCACAAAAGAGGACATTCAGCTGGCAAACAAACACATGAAGAAATGTTCAAAATCTAGCTATCAGAAAAATGACAATCAAAACAACTGAGATAGTATCTCACCTCAGCAACAACAGCAAAGTTCCACAGGGCAGCAAACAACAAATGCTGGTGAGGTTATGAAAAGATTAGAACTTTATTCACTGCTGGTGAGAATGTAAAATGATATAACCACCATGGAAGGTAGTCTGGCACTTTGTCAAAAAGTTGGAAATAGAAATACCATTTGACCCAGCAATTCTACTACTGGGAATATATCCTAAATAAACCAGAGCCACAACTCAAACAGATGTATGCACACCTACGTTTATTGTTGCATCCCTCACTAGAGCAAAGAGATAGAAGTGCGTGCCCATCAACAAACGAATGGATAGAAAAACTACAGTGCATCCACACAACGGAATGCTGAGAAATAATGAAATAGTAAAGCATTGCACAACATGGGGGAGCCTTGAGCACTTTATGCTAAGTGAAATATCTCAGTCACAAAAAGACAAATATTGTATAATACTGCCAAACAGGACAGACATGGGCGGAAATGGAGGAGGGAATGAGGAAAGAGAACATTAGAATAGAAGAGGAGAAGAACTGTCCAAAAGGAAAATATGATTATACATCACATGTATGTGAGCAATCTGAACAAGGGGTGCAGGGTGGGCGGTGGGAGGAGGAGGGAAATGGGGACAAGAAAATATACAGCAGTGAATAAAGAAAAGAAAAAAAACGAAAGACAAAAATGGAAAAAAATTAACAACTTAAAAACAACAAAGGAGGAAATAAATGAAGACAATTCTCTAACAGGGGGAAGATGGTTTGGTAGAGTAATGAGAGAATGTTTAACAGGCTAATGGGGGAGAACGGAAATGAGGGGAGGAGCTCTTGGGGCACAGTGGTATAGCGCTTACCAAAAGGTTAATCAAAAGGTTGATGGTTTGGAACCCACCAGTCACTCTGCAAGAGAAAGATGTGTGGGTCAGCCCATAAACCCCACGGAGTAATTCTTGGAGACACTATGGGGCAGCCCACTAGGAATCACACTGCTCTCAGGAAAAGAGGAAAATGGGGAGCAAAGAAATGAGGGAGGAATGGAGGAGGAAGAAACAGAGGGGAGAGTGGATAGGAGGAGGGTGGAGACAGAGCAAAAAAGAGAATGGAAGGGGAGGAGAAGGGGAGGGGTTGGAGGGAGCAGAAAAAAGAGGTGTGGGTGGGAGGAGTGGCAGCGGGGAGGGGAGAGACAACACCTTCTACCACCTTGAAAGGAGCTGGAGGTAAACCAGAGTGTTTCTGTTACAACTATCTCCGCATGTATGCTATATATACCCTGGTGTTTTAGAATGCAGAAAAATAAAGCATGGCTTTTACTGGGTTGTTTTTTGGTTCCCCACCCCCTTATTTTCCTGTGCAATGCCTTGATTGATTTGCTTGAATATATTTACACATATGCAGAGTTCTGTCTATTTGGGTAAATGTTTCTTGGAAACAGCAGGAGCAGCTGCTGGCCCTTTCCCCAGGGATTTTCAGGGTTGCCTGACCTAGCCTGGTGCAGGCTCAAAGTTGAGCCAGCCAAAGCATACGTCATGCATACGTCACTTTACTCAGAGCTTCATTCACTAACTAAAGGCTCACATCTGAGCGTCATAAAAATCCCTCTCTGTGTGCTATGATAGTGAATAAGGTAAAGCCTTTACTAAAGGCTCTATAAAGATAAGTTCTTTCTTTTTCCATCCCTCCTAGCTCTTAAATGAGCTGAAGCATATGGACATCGACCAACATGAAGAAATCCCTAAGAATATTCAGCCCAACATCATCCATGATAGACGAGGAAACCAAGTATCAGAAATGGAATGACAAGCTCCTAGTTTCCCATTGTCTCAGGTGGCATTTCTCCAACAAGTCAAGGACCTCAGAAATACTCAAATGGACTGATTTGAGAGTTGAAACACCTCTTTGCCTAGGAACTGTTAAAAACGTACTTAGCAAATTAATGAACACAGGGTTGGGGTCTCACTGTGTGCATGTGCATAGCTGGGTAGGAAGGTTTGGTGAGCGACTGAAAAGCATTAGAGCAAAGGTCTGATGGACTTGCATTTTATATTGACATTGCTTCTCTGGATTCTGAGAATTAACTTCTTTTTATAGAGTCCAGAGGGTCAGGGATGAAAAAGCCCTCATAGGGTGAAATACAACAATGAGTGATATTTAAGAAGCTTGTTGTGCCTTAGAATGATTGCAACAGACTTTGCACAACAGAGGCCAGAAACAGCGGATGCAAAACAATGCCGATTTTGCAACCACCTTTTGTGTCCTCTGTGTAGCAAGGACATGGGAAAGGCTGGTGTCCCCCTTTGCCCAATGCCTCTTTTCTCTCTTTGCCCCCAGGTGCAATGAGTGGGGGTGAATTGTCTTTCAAATGGCCTCACTTTGAGAGGGGAACACAATCTTTCTGTTTGGCTTTTGCATCTCACTGTGCAAATACGACAGACAGTGCAATTCTCCGAAAGCCTGAGCTGTGGAATGTCAGCTGTAACACAGAAGTTAAGGTACTTCGGATGGAATAAGCAGGGCCTCAGGCCTCATCCAATGCTAACTTTCTGAACTTTACACTGAATTCCACACAGTATCATCTTCAGAAAACAAGTACATGTCATCTTTATTAATATGGAAACTATCTTTGCAAGATGCTTAACAGTTTGCAAGAACACTCAACAGCACTCTCTTGTAGGACAATCAGCTCTCACAGTTGTCCTTTGAGATAAGTATTATTGTCCTTTTATTCCATAATAGTAAAGTGAGACTTGGAAAAGACGAGTGACTTGTCCAAGGACAAACAGTTGTATCAATCTGGAGATTCAAAGTTAGGAAAGCATATCACCGAGGCTTATATTCGTTGTGGGAGGTACCATTGCCTTTTGACTCCAAATGAGGTAGATTAACTGATGGCAGACCAAAAGCATCGATGGAGGATGACTTGAACTTACAAAGTGCTCTTAGACCACTGAGGGGGGAGGGAGGCAGGTCTTAGGAGTGAGTCTTGGAGAGGAGAAAGCTTTCAGTCACTGACGAAGGACAAGGTAACTAGGATGAAGTGAGTATCAGTTCCTTTCTTCCTCCCTTAGTTATAAGGTTATGTCTCTTACCTGTGCCACCTGGAAAACAGAATATACTAGTCTTTCGGACTTTAAAGAGAGCAAATCCTCCTCTCTCTGTTAGGATGAGATCAGTGGGGCCCAAAAGTGGAAAGTGATGTTCCCTGATGACCTTCTGTCAACTCTGAGACTCAATTCCAGGTGTGCGAGGTTCTCTTCCCCCACACATCCCTGCTTCCCTCTCTGGCTCATGTAATCTGGAACCTTGTGGAGTGCCAAACCCAAAGCCAAGCCAATCAAAGTCAGGATGGAGAAGCAAGAAACACATAGGCATCTTACAGAGACTCTAACAGTAACTCAGCTTTGGATGTGCACAAGCTCCGCTTAGCTACTAACAGGCCCAGGACTAGGAGGCCCAGGTCCCGGATGGGGAAGCCTTACCTCTGTTCAGCAGGGCTGTAGGTCTCCCCTCTCTGGCAGCTGCTCAGGGTGACAGGGTCAAAGTTGTCGAAGGAGCGGAGGGCCACCCCCGAGATGGCGACCAGGGGCGAGCTGAAGCTCACACGCACCGCTTGGCTGTGGTAGAAGGGCTGGCTGAGGTCATGGACCACAGGGATAATCAGGGGATTGTTCCTGCAGCTCAGAACATGGAAGCCTGTCAGGGAGACAGAGGGGCCGAGGGGCCAGGCTCATTACTCAAGGCCAGTCACGCCCTCCCCAACAGGCCCTTCCCGAAGTCCCCAGACCCTTTCATGTCACTGCACAAAAGCCCTATGGGGGCGGCCAGTGGGGATTTTGAGTTTGATTGAAAGTTTCTTTGTCTGGCTTTTTTTCTCTTGGTTCCAAATCTCTCCAATCCCCCTGCCTCCCTGCCCCTCTAAGCTTTCCCTTCACCTAGCGCCCACAGCCCCTCTCCCTCCCATTAATGGCCACCCCTCAGCCAAGCACCACTGCCCTCACCTCCCACATTGGGGGGTGAGCTTGTGAGTCTCTAGCTTCCGAGCTGCCTGGTCAGTCATGAACAAGGTGAAAAGAATTCATAGCAAAAGGCCCTTCTCAGAGCAGACTGCATGCTTGCACCTGCCATCTATCTGCGAAGCTCAAAGCAGCCCGCTAGCTAAGAACCCGCCTGCAGAACAGAGACAGTCATGATCAGGAAGGAGCAGTAAAAAGTCAAGGTGGAATCAAGCTGGTCTCCTTCAAAAGCCCAAAACTCTTCCTAGAACAAGCCACAGGCTCAGATAATCCAAGAAAGAAGGGAGCAAGTCAGTGAAAAACCAAAAAAAGACATCTAGTAGAGGCCACGGTTTGAGGTGGGGAGAGGATGTGGAAGGATGCAGCTAGAACACCTTGGGGATAGGCAGACCTAAGTTAAAAATGGATTCATCCGCTTTTAGATTATATGATTCCAGCAAGTCCCAGAGACTCAATTTCTGCATCTTAAAAGTGGAATCACCCTAATCCTATCTCAGCAGGCTGGGATATCCCAGAAAGGGTCCTGCTGGCCTCTTGTGAAGGTGTGAAGCTCAGAGGCCAGCAGGACCCTTTCTGGGCTCTGGTTCCTCAGATGTGTGGCTCCTTATACAGGGGCACCAGGAGGCCGAGGACAGAAGACCCATGCATGGTGAAGAGGGGCACAGGGAAATCGAGGAAGCTCAGGTGCCAAGTAGCAGGATGCCAGGGGCTCAAACCAACCTCTTCTGGCTGATACCGGCCTTTCCCCGACTCCTCAAAACCTCTCTTTGGAGCTCTTTGAAATGCCAGCACAACTATGAGAAATATGTGCTTCTCACTTAGGGAAACTTCCCAGAAATCCAGATTAAGTCCAGAGGGAGTTTTCTTTCTCTTCCTTTTTAATGTTTTTCCCCCCTTGCCTTTAAAACTAACTAGATAAATAAATTTAAAAAAAAAAATAAAACAGGAATCTCTCTCTCTCTCTCTCTCTCTCTCTCACACACACACACACACACACACACACACTCAACCCCTCTTGCTCCCTTGCCTTCCACCTGACTCTGAAATGACCTCTGGCCTGCTCTTTTCCTCCAGCCTTTGAATGGGGCATCAACAGAATGGTGCAGGCACAGCTTGGAAGCCTGCGCAGGCCGTGAAGAGAGAGCTGGGGTGTCATGAGTAGTTGTGGGTCACAAATTCTGACACCTGCAATGGCTGGCCAGAGCACCTCTGGGTGTATTGGAAATGGAAGGCTAAGTGGGGATTTCTTGGTGCCAAGTTTTGGGGTCACAACATTAACAAATACAATTCAGTCACATACCAACTGCATAGTGAGCAATTCTGTCCCCAGTATGCATTTAAAAAAAACAAAAGTTCCAAGTAGGGTATCCAGGAAAGCACACCCTTCTGCCTAGTAAGTGAGGAGTAGAGGCAGGATTCAAACATTAGAGTTAATTTCAGGTTTTGGAAATTTTCTTGAGTATCAAAGAGCCAGCTAGCCCTTGAGTCCTGACTTGGCCTGTTCTCAGGGCAGCTTCTCAACAGGTAGTGCCTGACCTCTCCTCAGTGTGCCCCGCTCAGGGCACTGGCATTTTCTAATTGCCGCTCTCACTATGAACTTCTGTGGGGACCGTGCTGGAGACACGGTTGTTACCCGGGGTGTTCACAGGCACCTCTGGGCATGAAGTAAAGAGCAAGGGGCTAGGATTCAAAAAACCTAGCCACTATGTCTTGACTTGCTCAATGCCTGGAAGGTCCTCAATTCTTCTCTTTGGGTCTCTTTCTGATCCCCCTAATGGAGAAATGCCCCTGTTTGATCTCCTTCCCAGGATATTTTGTGAATCACTCACAATATCTGAAGCTAAAGGGCTCGGGCTGAAGCAAGTTTTAACACGAGACCTTGGTTCTCCTATTGGTCACATTCAGGCTATTCTGTCTATTCATCCACCGGTGAGCCAAATACAAAAGAAGCAAGAAAGAGGGAAGGTGGTAAAAAGAACTTATTCTAAATGAATCCTCACAACCACCCATGAGACAGACATGAAGAGAGATTCCCAGAGCCAGTTAAGACCTGGAGAGCTTGCCTACCTAGGTCATGGGTTTGGTCTTTGGTATCAAGCAGCTGGATACTGATAGTCTCCTGTTTTTGGTCCCCATAATATGTCCCATCAGTCACCAGGTGGACAATGACAGCTGCAGCAACCATTGGATGAGAAAAATATGCCTGAAACACAGAATACATAGAGACTCACTAGTGGGCCCACCTGGAAGCTGGGGAAAGTGACACAGGGCACAGGGCTAGGGGCGAATCTGGCACTCAAGAGCTGGGGCACTAAGAGGGGAGGCACTAGGACCATACATTTAAGAGCACAGATACTGAGGTCAGATATTTTATTCTCTTTTTTTTAAAGCAGTGAATAAAATAATTTATTCAATACTAAATGAAAAAGTCATATACCAGATGAAATAGAAACTATTAATGAAAATTTTGCTGTATGTTAAAAGTATAGAGATAATTCTTGAAATATGTAACAGGTCTAGAGAATCAAATGCCCTAGAGAAGTTCCTATAGAAAATCCTCCAGTTAGTGAGTTGGGCATTTCAGTAATTCTGCAGTTTCTTCAAACATTTTTTTCATCCTTTCCATTTTCTGGATTGTTGTTTCCTCTGAATTATCTTTCGAACTATGGTTATTAGTAGCCAAAGTTTTGGGAGTTGAATCTGATGATGATGATATGATATAATCAGTGAACAAAGGAATACTTATTGACATCTGTTCATTGCTTTTTCTATCAGGATTCAGATGATCCACGTGCCTACCAGAAATAGGGTCTTCATTCATTTCGTTAAACTGTTCATATTCATCAGTCTTTTTTGACAAAAACATTTCTGTTTCAAGAAGAGTAATACGACTTAGAAGATTAGTCCAGATTTTTTCATTTATCATCATCTTGCCTTTCATTTTTTCTTCTAAATATTCTATCCTACTCTCAAAGCAACTAAGTTTCTTGAGCTTTTCTTGACATTCAGCAACCATAGTCTGTAGTGCAATAATTTCAGGATTACATTTCATATCCTGTTGCTCTGACTTGATTTCAGGAGCCTTTATTTCAGTAGTGTTGATGTGAGGTACATCAAATTCTTCATTAATATCTGTTACTGTATTTAATGTATCTTCAGGAATGACAGCATTATACAAGTGATGAATCACTACAGCTTTTTTCTTTCCAGAAGTCATAAACCTTGTAGAAACATCAAGGCCAACAGATTCTGTAGATGTTTTCTCATTTCCCAAAGGCTCTGACTTACTACAAGTAGTTTTCTTTCTTTGTTGTAAGGGAGTCTTTTCAAGGCTTCTCACCTCCTTGTGCTTTTTCATTACACAATTCAAAATATCACAAATAATTTGTATTTTCCATTCTGCAAACCCACACTGGAGAAACTGCTTTTTTGTCAAAATTGGCTTACAATTAAATTGATCACAAAGAAGCTTATAAACAGCATCTATAAAGCACAAGTCATTCTTTGCTATAAGCTCTACACTGGAGTCTATCAGAAGTTCTGCTATATAAGGTGAATATGAAGTAAGAGAATAGCTGATGATTGGCAAAGATGCTGCTGGGTCTCCTTTTATCAAACCTACACAATTCACTTCCTTAGGATAATTCAGTGAGCGAAGTACTTGTTCCAGGTTCCGTAAGCTTTTTTTTAAGTCACCTGTTGCCATTATTAAGTATCAGAATCACCTCCAGCTCTTGAAGTTTAGTATTTTACCGCGGCAAGACCTTCAAAGTTCAGATATTTTATTCTAATTGGCTCTTCCCCTTGCTAATAGGGAGACACTGAGCGAAGCACATGCTTCTCTGGGCCCAGCTCTCCCACCTTTAAATGGTTGATAAAAGCAGTTCTATCACAGGATCATTGCAAAGCTATAGTAAGATAATGGGAGCAAAGTGGCTGATACAGAAGCCCTAGTGGAGTGGTGGACCAAATGTTGGTCTGGTAACTAAAAAGGTTGATAGTTCGAACCTACCAGCTGCTCTGCAGGAGAAAGGTGGGTAAGGAAGTCTGCTCCCGTAAAGACTAGAAACCCCATGGGGCACGTCTCCTCTGTCTTGTCGAGTCACTATTGGTTAGTCTCAACTTGAAGGCAGATGTGTGGTGTGATTAGTTCTTCATTTCTGAGCCACTGTCGAGTTCAGAGTGGGTCAGAGACATACAAATAATAATGCAGAATGATCTACAATTTTCAGTCAGGAAGATGGTCCCATAGACGGCTGTGTCATACCCATGTGAGACAAGCAGAGGACCTAATGTGTAAGGGCTACAGGAGAAAATAATCATGTGTCTCTAAAACCAATTGCTCTTGAGCTACTCAATTCCACTCCATGTGTGTCAGAACAGAGCTAAGCTTTACAGCTTTCCAATGGCTGTTATCTTCAAAGGAGATTATACGGTCTTTCTTCTGAGGGACCTCTGGGTGGATTTGGTTAGCAACCAAACACTTAACTTTCTGTGCCACTCAGGGACCAGTAAAGACTTCAAGGAGGAAAAAACTATATTAAAAAGTCTTGAACAAAGAATAAGATATTTTAAGCAGGTAAAAGATATCAAAACGTTTTTTGTCATGAGTCAATGGGTATCAAAGATCAGGGAGAAATCCATTGCTGAGTTTGTTGTGTTCCCTGTCCTTATAATTAATACCTGAGGTAGGTAGGAAACCCAGTGTGAGATAGAGCCATTGGGGTGAGTGCTTCCTGGGGCAATGCTGGAGATCCCAAGGCTCTCAGGTCATTGGCTTACCCGGATCCAGAACGTGGTCTGAGCCAGCTGGGAGTATGGGTAACTGATAGTGCAAGGGTACCATGCATGCTGGGAAATGCCTTCGCTGAGATCTATCACCTTAGTTCGACACACCTGGGAACAGATAAAGAAAAAAAAAAATAATGGTTTTTTTGGTGGAAGTTCCCAGTATTCCAAGGAATTCAATTTTATATACCCTCACTACATCTGCTTTGTTCTTGACATACAGTGACAGACAGAAGAACATACTCTAATGAAGAACAGGTAATTCTCAGTGCTATTAAGAATGAATCAACACAATGTTGTGATGGTAAAAGTGACAAGGAGTAATAATAATAAATGGGACAAATTCTGGAGAAGCTGGCCTTCAAATCAGATCTGGAAGAAGTGAGTGGGGATGTAGGAAGGACACTCTAGACAGGGAGAAAAGAAACACATGTCTAGAGAAGAGAAGAAACCTGGGATGCTTAGGTTTAATTCAACTGCTTGGGATCATTAGAGTTTAGGGAGTATGGCAAGACAGGTAATCTGAGGGGTTGGATCTCACAGAGTCTTGAATATCAAGCTTAGTGGTTTGAATTGAAATGAATCTATAAACTGTTATCAGAGCTATATTCTCAATAAACCAGAGACTATCATGGGAGAATGATGGACAATCTCCTCCTATGACATTTATTGCCTCTGAAAACCTGCTGGAGGGTCAGCCATGGGTCAGCTCCAGGTCAAAGGCACACAACAACAACAACAGTGAGGGTGTAAGAATTAGTTTCACTATCACTAGAGAAAATCAGATTTATCTCTTCATATATACATTTCTCTCTCTCTCTCTCTCTATATATATATACATATACATATACATATACATACATATATATATATATATATATATATATATATATATTTCAATTGTAGATTCGCTAATATTAAATCTACAGGTATGAAAAGAAACAGGAAGCATGGCACAAATATAATTCTTCAAATAACTAGTTTTGCTGCATGTCCATAAGCCATTTCATCTATTTATTCAAATAGCATTTATTGAATATATACTATCTGCCTGACACTCTGAAATGAAATGACAGACAAGTTGGGGACTAAGGATCTTAGCAATGGCAAAGTGTACAAATATTAATTAAACAATGACATATGTCCTTGTAACTGAAAATGGAGAAAAGAGTATGACGTTGTTTTCCAGATTGGTTAGCACTTTGGTAGACATTTGTATTAAATTAGCACTTTTCCTCTGATCCCTGATGTAGCTCCCTCTCAAAAACTCCTTGCGAATTTGGACCACATTTCAGGTCTCAGTGGACCCATCTGACAAATAAGACTGAACCTTAGAATTTTCAAGCAGTGATGAAAAAAAAAAAAAAGAAAAAGGAGGGAGGGAGGGGGATAAACTAATCTCAAGAAGACTAAACAAAACAAACACATTAAAGAGGAGAGAGAGAGGAAGGAGAGAAGGACAGAGTGACCATATAAAAGAAGCAGGGACGTTCATTCCAGTGATAACTCCAGTAGCAAAAGATGGGGAATGTCTGCTTGTCCATTTGTTGGAGAAAGATGCAAACATGAAAAAGTCAATAGAATACTATAAGGACTGGACTAAATTAACAAGAATGAACCAGATTCATATCTAGGGAATACACGAAAATTATTTAACTACTGATTCAGTAAGGACCCTGGAAAACGGAAGATCTACTGTAAGTTTATAAACATTAACAGAGAAAAGTCTCCAATATACAGTATTAAGTGAAGAGGCAGGGACAAGAAAGTTCAAATGGAAAATTCAGTGTTTGTAAAGCTCACATCCAGTAAAACTATAAGAATTAAAAATGGAGTAGAAAAGTAAATAGGAAACTCAAGATAGTTACTGCCTGTGAATGAAACTGAAGGGTATGCTATTGTAGGGGAATAATCCTGTAGGGAGCAGGGGCCAAGATCTCAACCTTATTTTATCAGCAATTTGTCTTACAGAAACAGACTTGAGGCAAATATGACAAAGTGTTCACAATATTCCATGTCATTGTATGACATTTAAAAAAAGAGACACAAAAACCTCCAAAACCATTGACTTAGAAAGCCATTAAAAATAGATCTGAAACTGTCAGTGCCAATTCCCCTAAAGATATGCTCTTAACAATGGACTCAATGAACTGAAGTAGTCCTGAACCTTCTATGACAGACAGCTCTTCTTGCTCTTGGCATTACTAATGGCTCACTCTAACCTGCCAAGCGTCTCATCCATAAATTTTCAGTAATTTAAATATCCCTCTCTTCATCACTTCCTTGGATGAGTCTGGCTTCTAGGAGTCTTTGGAAAGCTGTTTCCATCCTCTTTACAATTGCAGGGCTCTAGTAAAAGTCAAGTTAAACCACACAGCCGCACTGGGATATAAAATTCCCCACCCTAATGCTTTAGTTATAATAAACTCAAAAACAAAACAAGTTAGAGTAATGCTGTACTTAAGGAAAAAGATGCAAATATAATACAGAGTTACTCTATATCTTTTACCCAGTTTTAAATTCTTTCTTGAAACCACAAATAGGGAAGATTAGCTGCATAGCCAACTATGGAGGGTATAAATTGTCATCCAGTAAATTCTTCAGTGGTGAATGGTTTTGGATTAAGGAGATCTAGGCCAAACTTCCCAAAAATAAAATGTGTAAACAAGGACTAATTATCTCACCTCTAGATATCTCAGTTTATCTTTAACATTTTTTATTTTATTTTTTTTTATTTTTTTATTTTTTATTATTATTTTGTGTGCGTGTACCGTCAAATCAGATCTGACTGGTACAGGAGGATATTGCGCCTCCTTCTCCGGCAGAGCATCTGGTGGATTCGAACCGTGATCCTCTGGGATTGCAGTGCAGCTTCTTGCCACTAGGCCACCAGAGCTCCCCTTATCTTTAACATTTGAACATTGATGAGATCATAGATTTTTCAAGGTGTCTTTTTCTGGATTCCCTAGGCTTCATCAGCCTGGTCATGAGGAGGTGAAAAAGGTTGGCTCCGTTTCCTTCTCACTCTGTCAACCAGAACATCCCCACTGTTTTACATTTTGAATGGTCTTATAATATTATATGAAAGGAGCTTCTTTCTTTTCAAGGGTTGTACAAACAGCCAAGGGCTCAGCTACACATCGTATCTGGGAGCTGAACAACAAATGAGGAAGATCGAAAAAGACTCAATGCCTTTGAACTGTGGCATCTGTGAAGAGTACTGAATACACCATGGACTGCCAAAGAAATCAACAAATCTGTATTGAGGGCTGGGCAATCGGAGTGCCCCCCAGAGGTGAGGACAGTGGATCTTCGTCTCACTGACTTACGGCCTATTTTCAGGAGAAACCAGTCCTGAGAGAAAGACAACATTTTGGGAAAAGTAGATTGAGTGAAATAGAAGAAGATTTTCATAAGATGGGATGACACAGTGACTGCCACAGTGGGCCCGAGAATGGGTGAGGTCAAGAGGATGGGGCAGGAAGAGAATGGTACTAATCTATTGTTCAGAGGATCACAATGAGTAGTAGTCAACTCAATGGTACTTAAAAACAACAACCACAACACCACCACCACAAACTGAAATGCTGGTGGTTTGAATCTACCTAAAGGCACTTTAGGCAACAAAGCCAAAATATTTACTTCAAAAAGAATGGAGAGATTGAGAATCCTATGGAGTGCAACTCTACTTTGAATGTATGTGTCACAACTGACACATGGCAACTGCTTGAAAACACTAAAAAGTATCAAAGCTTGATCATTCTCAAAGTCTCCTCACATAAATTCCTCATGCCTAGAAAATTATGAGTTCTAGGAACACTGCATGGTTTAAAATTGGGAAGGTTGTACACCAGGGGATGTGTCTTATCTCCACACCTTTTCAATCGATATGCAGAACAGATTATCCGAGAGGCTGGGCTTTATGAGGAGAAATGTGGCATTAGGATTGGAGGAAGACGCATCAACAATCTGCATTATGCAGATGACACAACCCTGCCATCTGAAACTGAGGAGGATCGAAGTGCTTGCTGTAGAGGGTCAAGGAGTGCAGCCTTCAATATGGACTGAAGCGCAATATCAAGAAAACAAAGATCCACTGGGCGGACTGGCAGCATCTTGATGGATGGTGAGAGATTGACAATGTAAACAGCTTTAGTTTGCTTGGTTCCACAATCAACACTTTTGGCACCAGCAGCCAGTAAAGTAAAAGATGTATTGCATTGGGAAAGCCTGCTGTCAGAGTCCTTTCCAAAGTACTGAAGAGCAATTATTTCAGTCTGGAGACTAAGGTGTGCTGGATATAGGCCATGGTCTTTGCAATCACTTGTTATGCATCAGAGAGCTGGAAAATGACTAGGGATGACAGAAGGAGAATTGATGCCTTTGAGCTGTGGTGCTGGAGAAAAGTGTTGAATATACCATGGATTGCTAAGAGAACAAACAAGTTCATCCTTGATAGGGTTAAACCAGTCTGCTTCTTGCAGTCTGCTCCTTGGAGGCAAGGATTCTGAAGCTTGTCTGACATAATTTGGACATGTAGCAAGGAGGGAGAGGGACATCACACTTGGAAGGGTGGAGGGACAGCACAGGAGAGGAAGACTCTCGATGAGATGGACTGGTTCATTTACTGTGGTAATGGGGGTGGGTGTGTCAGAGACAATAAGATTGGCACAGGATAGAGCAGGGTTTAGGGCTGTTGTACATAGGGTCACAATGAGTCACAGGCGACTTGACAGCACCTAACAACCACAACAGGAAATAAGTTCTTAGGCCGCTGAATATGATGGGTTAACTTTTTATGGTGTCAAAGTTCAACCATCCCATTGACTAGAAGTTGGATACTGGTTCCACTTATTCCGAGAAGCCTCATACAGAGGCAACTATTGGTAAAATATAGCCCTCTTTAATCCACTGGAAGACATTTTCAAGTTTATTTATTTTTCTCAAAAAACAACTGGGACCAAGCTCAGGCAAATCTGCCAGTGGATTGTGTTACATTTTACAGCCACGCAAGAGTTTGCACAAACTATCTATGGCATTTGAAATCCAGGCCAGCGATTGGACATGTATCATTTTGAAATTCTTTCTCCTTGTGTTCTTTGCTGTCC